CTCACCAGCATGCTGTCCAGGTGAGCTCCTCCATCCCACCTGCAGCCTATGGATACTTCCTTAAGGGCCTCTTTTTTCTATACTGGGAGATAGAAATCCCTAAGATAAAGCTCGGTCAGGATTTCTAGATTTCTCGGTGGGGAAAACCTTTATGGGCATTCCTTTCCAGGTATAGGAATGCTTAATTTAACTGTGTCAGATCAAAGCTGGGAACCAAGCTGAGCAGGGAAGTGCTGGACACTGGACACAAAGGGCTTGATAGCCTGTCCCTGGAAGGGGAAGCAGGGGTGTCACAGATGTAAAGCTACAAGGAGGGAATTGGAGACTGGCAGAGCAGGGACCCACCCTGTATTAATCTCTGCTTGCCGCTTGCTGGCATTTGCAGCTTTGCCTCACCTTAAATATGGCCTGGTCGATCTCCTGTGGCCTCAGCTGCTGGCTTGGGGCCAGGGCTCGCTTCTGTCCCTGAGGCAGCTTCAGCAAGGTGTTCCCAGAGGAGAAGGCAGGAGAGGGGTAAATCTGATTGGGTTTTGGGCTCCAGACACCTTGATCCAACACGATCCTTTGGTACAGGACTGGACACACAAGCTGCTTGGCTGTCTCTGACTGGGCAACAGCTGGTTTCATGTTCACAGAGGGTTTCGTGTTGTTTGACGTCCTCTAGGAGCGACTGGCCAGGGATGATGAAATAGTAATGAGCCTCCCTCTCTCTTTCTCACCCTCTCCCCCTCTCCTCCTGGCCTTGGGCCCTCTAAGGTTACCTCAGCCCTTCATCCTCGATCTGCTCAGAGCTGTCAGCTCTGAGTGAATCGTGGTGCAGGCGAGACGCTGGAGGGAAGCGGTGCAGACAGCCGGCTCCCCGGAGCCTCCCCCACTGCTGCTCATAAGCCCCGCAGGTAACGGGGGCCAGGGAGGATGCTGAGACGCCTGCAAGCCCTGACAGAGCGAGGCAGAGGCTGGGACTACAGCCTTTTCTGCAAAAATCTTCCTTCCTCTTGGCTCCACTGCCTCTCCCTGAGCTATCCCACTGGTGAGGGAGAGCGGCTACCAGCAGCATTGGTGCCAGCATGGCGGGGCAGTTTCCCTGAACCCTCATCCACACATGCAGTCTCTGGCATGTCTGCAGCATTCAGCATCAAATAGGAGCGTGCTGGGCCTCCCTGGCCTCTTGATGCAGGAGAAAAACCTCAACGGTGGGCTGGGAGAGATATCAAGAGCCCTGGAGGCCGGGCTGCTCTTGGAGGAGGTAGAAGGAGCAGGCATTTCCAAGGGGCAGCCTTCGTCCTGATCCTTGGCACGCTGACAGCACCATTGCACCCCTTCTCCCTCACAGGATCATGGCACGGCGGTCACGGGGCGCGATGCCTGCAGCGACGCGGCCCCGGGAGAGCCCTGGGACTCCCTGCACATCCTAGCCCCGCAGTGCGAGGTATACGTGTGCGTGGGCCCGGCCGAGGGCGCGGAGCGGTGAGTACCAGCCGGGAGCCCTGCTGCTCCCACCACCCTTCGCTGGGGAGGACGGAGGAGGGGGAGCGGGAAGCCAAGCAGGAGGAAATCAGCTCCCTTTTCCCTGGTGCTCTGCACGCTGGTGCCTGGGAAAAAGAACTGAGAAACCCCCATGCCATGCCCTCTAACCATTCCTCTGGGCTGTCCCTGGAGAGGTCAGGGAGCCCCTGAAAGAGTCTCCTTCATCCCTCCAGAGCAAGGCTGGTGGTCTCAGGATGGGCTCTGCCAGCCTCTGCCCATCCAGCAGAGAGTGAGTCAGTGTGGCTGGGGCTGCCGGTGCTGTCGCTCGCCCCTGAGCTCTGCGGGCTGTGCTGACCACCAGCTGTCCTCTCTCCCTGCCCCACAGCTGGCACGAGAGCAGGCGATATCCCCCACTCAGCCCGGGAGCTGAGGGTGAGCACAGAGAAACTGGCACCGACCCCAGCGCCTGTGCTGAAGCCAACTCCACGCTCGCCAGGGTGAGATGGGCATCTCTTGTGGTTTGGGTTATTTTGGTCTCCTCAGCTCCCTTGGCCCTTCAATGCCACTTTTGCTGGGCCCATCCAGCAGGTTCCTGGGCACACAGACATGTTGAATTTGCCCCTCTGGCTCTCCTGACTTGGGCAGATGGAAGAAAGAGCTCATCATGTGCAGGGAGGTGGATTTGATGATCCTTATGGGTCCCTTAAAACTTGAGATATTCTGTGATTCTAAGGTCCTGAGATACAAGGGGGGATCAACTGAGACTCTTAGTCCCCACAAAGGAGGCTCTCCCCCTAAAGAGCTCATGAGATTTGCTCTTGGATACTCCCATGTGGCCTTTTCTGTGTTGTTCCTTGCCGTCGTTGATCTGGCATCATCTTATACTCACACAGCTCCTCTTCTGGTTCCTTTTTACTGGCAGCTTTGAGCTGAACAGGCTGTAGTTTTCATATGTACTCTTACCTCCTTGCAGCCCACAGAAGCTACTAGTCTCCATTGGAGAGATCTGCCCTATCCTGTCTCCCAGGAAGGGGAAATGACCCGGTTGTGGGACAACACTTTGGGATCGGGCAAACGGGACATGATGAGCTACTTGGGCCGTAAGGAGGAGGTGCGGTCACAGGCAGACAGACCCAGGTGGGCTCAGCCTGTTCCCTCTGGATCCTGGGTGAGAACTGAAGCCCAGGACTTTAGGAAAGAAATCTGTCCATCGAAAGCAGGTACTCTTGGTTTGCTCCTGTGTGAGATCCTGGTTCTGGTTTGCTTACAACCAGGGGTCTCTGAGGTTCCAGGCAGATCTCTCTTTAGATTTAGCATCTCTTAATCTAATTCTGATCCCAGGAAGTGTTCAACACATCCATGGGCACTATGTGAGAGTCTCTCTTTGTGCGTGCTGACTGTGAACCGTGGGCGTCTCGGGTGCTCTCCATCTGCATGGTTTGGCATGCCCTGGGCTCGAAGTGCTGTGTTCCAGTGCTCCCACCCTGCCTCGAGGGAGTCTGGGTTTTATCTCTGCCCTCCTGGCCCATTTCTAGCTCTCCTCCGAAGACCTGCTTTGCCGTGGACGTGGTGGCATCCCGCGTCGCTC